TCCCAGATCACAAAATTGAAATATTCTTAAAGAGAAATAGCATATAGAAAATATGGAAAAATATATCTACATATAATAGAGGTATGAATAGAAACGAATTACAAAATATGACAAAAGAACAGCTGATTGACATAATCATGGATTTGAGACCTGTTCCAAAATATCAACCTAAACCAACACCAAGTAAAATTAAATTCGCTCTATCGTTCAATAATGTTAAACAGATGGTTCAAGCTTATGAAGAAAACATTATTGAACCACCTCTAGAGTTTGGAGATGATTATAAACCAGTGACTAAACCAAGGACAAGAATTGAACCGTCTCTAGAGTTTCGAGATGATAATAAACTAGTGCTTAAACCTGTTCCTCTACCAATAAAAGAATTGATGAAACAGGTAAAACTTTAAAAGGATATACAAAATCATATGAAATCAACATAAAAAATGATAACGATCCATTTATTCAAATGCAGAGGACAAGATTGGCTATTGGTAAATACATTGAGAAGAGATTGAATGAAATGAAATTTATTAAATCGAATTGCACAATGGATTTCAGAGAGATCTGGTTGGCGTATTCGATCAGTTGATAATCACTACCTAAATACTGTTCTATATAATCTAAAAATAGGTTCATCTTATATTAAACTTCCACCAGAATTAAGAAATGCTAAAAAAAGATTGATCAATCTAAGAAATGATCAAAATGAATGTTTTCGCTGGTGTCATATCAGACATTTAAATCCACAAGAAGATAATCCACAAAGAATAAGAAAAATTGATGAGGATTACATTGAACAATTGGATTATTCATGAATTGAATTCCCGGTTACGATTAAGCAAATCAATAAGATTGAAAAGCAAAATAAATAATATCAATGTATTTGGATATAGTGATAAACAAAGATATCCAATCAAAGTTAGTAAGGAGAGAAATGAAGATAACATGAATCTTTTATTGATAACAGAAGAGAAAAATTCAAATTATGTAGTGATAAAAGATTTCAACAGATTCATGTATAATCAAACTTAACATAAGGAGAGAAAGTACTTTTGTATGTATTGTTTGCACTGTTTCAGTTCGGAAAAAGGTATTAACTAATGATAAAGATAATTATCTCATAATAGATGCCAACTAAAGATAACATGTTCAAATTCAATAATTATCACAATCAATTACGTGTTCCATTTGTTTTCTACGCTGATTTTGAAGCAATAACGGAAAAAGTACAAAGTTGTCAACCAGCCAATGGGAGATCTTTCAATGAAGCTTATCAAAAACATACTGACTGTGGTTGTGCCTATAAGGTTGTTTGTACTTATGATGATAAATATACAAAACCTATTAAAATCTATCGCGGTGAGAAAGCTGTTTACAGGTTCATGCAACAGATGCTTGAAGAAGTGAAATATCGCCAAACGATTATTAAATATAAGTTTAGGAAACCTCTAAAAATGACAAAAAAAAAAGATGAAGGAAAATTCCAAAAAGCTGATAAATGTCACATTTGTGAACAGAAAGATACTGATAAAGACAAACAGGTAAGAGATCATTGTCATGTGACTGGAAAATTCCGAGAGCCAGCTCATCGAGATTTTAACCTTAACTTTCAAATCACGGACTGGTAAAATACCTGTGATCTGTCATAATTTCAGAGGATATGATTCACACTTCATCATGCAAGAAATTGGATAGATGTGAAAAACAATAAATACACAAATAAGAAAGGAGAAGAGGGCCAAATGAATATCAATGCACTCCCAAATAACATGGAAAAGTATATGGCTTTCATGCATGAGAGTAATTTTACTTTCAATGATAGGTTTCAATTCATGAGCTCAAGTCTTGATAAAATAGTCAATAATATTCCCAAAGAAGCTTTTAAATACACATCAGAAAAATTTAACAATAAAAAATTCGATCTTATTACTCAAAAATGTGTTTATCCTTACGATTACATGGACAACTTTGATAAATTTGATAAAACAGAACTGCCAACCAAAGATGAATTTTACAGCATATTAAATAACGAGCATATCTCAGATGATGAATATAAACGTGCTCAAAATGTATGGAAAAAATTTAAGTTAAAAGCGATGGGTGATTATCATGATCTCTACCCTAAGTCTGACATATTGTTGTTAGCTGATGTGTTTGAGAATTTCAGACAAACTTGTCTTCAAAATGACAAACTCGATCCTTGCCATTATTTCACAAGTCCTGGATTATCTTGGCGTGCTTTGCTAAAACTGACTGGCATTAAACTTGAATTAATGACTGACATGTCTCAATTCATTGAAAAAGGTTTGAGAGGAGGTACTAGTTATATTTCGAATCGATATGGAAAAGCGAGTAACAAATTCATGAAAGATTATAATGATAATGAACTTTCGAAATATACAAAGTACCTCGATGCCAAT